CCTGTCAGTTGCTATTTGGAAAAGCAGAGGAACCTTGACATGATTGTGAGCAATACCAGATGTGATACTAATGTATAATATGTCTTCCAACACATTTTTAGCATCCAAACAGTTTGCTTTCATTTACCTCAGGAAATCTTTGATCCCAAATAAAGAACCCTTAATTGTGTGGGCTGAATTTATAAGAAGCTTATCTTCGTTTTATCCAAACCCCCTTTATTTGACCTGACCTTCAGGAGATTTAACACCGTTTATAATTTTTTATTTTCAGCCACTTGTGTTTTCCTTATTTCATATGTTTCAATGTTTCTTAAAGGATTTCTATAAATACCACATCCTGGGAGAATGTGATGTGAGGCATTGGGGGTCTGGATTTTACATTTCTGTGGACACTGTACTCCCACTGGTTTATGCATGCAGATGCAGCTGTTAGGAGAAGTATGGTAAGGGAAAGAGAAAAAAAAGCAGAATTTGGACAAAAGCAAAGATTTTTTGTTTCCCCAGACCAGGGAAAAAAGATACATTGAATACATTGTGAATTTACCAGCAACATCTGTGGAAGTTGATGTAAGATTATCAATAAGTACATTAATTTTAAATGTCAAATTACTAATTAATTAGTTACATTACACCCCCCAAATTATTATTATTATTTGTTATTGTGCAGAAATTAAGCAAAAATATATGAAAAAGTAGGCGAAAAAACTCATTTTCCCAAAAAGAAAAAAATGAAAGTTTTTCATCAAAATCATCATTTAAATAGGATAGCATAAATCTGACAAAAATATAGAATCAATACTTATCATTGAAAGCTCTCTCAACGGTTGCATCAGACAATTGTTTGCCCTACATGTTATTGTCGAGTTTAATAAAAGTTGAAAAGGACCTCAGTGAATATTGTTATATATAGAGAGAAATAATGCAAATGACATAGGAAATATGGCCAAAAATGGTGGATACTTTTAAGATATATTTCAACATATTAATATTACACATATTAAACCAATTATTAGTTACCTTTAAATAACAGTCATTAGTGCAGGACAGCTGCACCACACAAAAAAGTAATGTATTCTAAATATATTCCTGAGCTATCTCTATAGTTATGCTGCTATAGGCTTAGACTTCTGGAGGACATAGGGACCCGTTTTTCATCATTCTGCTTCAATCTATCTCTATTCCCCCACTCTGCAGAATCTGTTAGTTCATCTGTAACGTTCACTCTCTCTACTTTTTCTCATAGTAGCTTCATCTGGTCTGTTCCTGTTTGGCTGTGCCTCCATCCTGGAAAGAAACATCAGCTGTTCTGCTTCCATCAACACCTTTGTTTATAGATGCTGGAGATCAGCCTGTTTTCCAGTGTAGTCCTGTTTCTCTGACCGTGACTGGCTGGATGTGCTCTCTTCGTCCTCTGGCATGGGAGCTGCCTTGGAGCTCGTCTGGCTGGCTGTGTGTTTCCTGGACGGGGCCGCCTTTTACAGCTGCTTTTTGAATCTCTGCTTCTGTCTCTTTGAACCCCAGTCGGCCTCAGCAGATGGCCGCTCACACTGAGCCTGGTTCTGCTGGAGGTTTCTTCCTGTTAAAAGGGAGTTTTTCCTCTCCACTGTCGCTATAAGCCTGCTTAGCGTGAGGGATTGCCTTTGAGTCAAAAAGTCGATGCAATCATCTGGTTTTCCTTAGATAGAAAACTTGAATCAATCTGACTGGATGATCTGGTGAACTGGAAAGTGCCTTGAGATGACATGTGTTCTGAATTGGCACTTTATAAAAAAACTGAATTTAATTAAAACAAATATTAGTGAGAGCATTGTTAGAAGAGGCACTACTTATATGTATTGCAAACTAAAAAAATAATTAACAGATAAAAAACCTGCAAAGGAAAAAACCTGCAAACACAGGAAATAAAATTAAATTAACAAAATTAAATAATTAAATACAACCCTCGGTGTAGATTATGTGTAAACAACCAACAATTAACAAAGTTAACAGAGAGGATAAATAGGGTTCAGAAAGTAAAAATCTTGCCTTGTTTTCCTTAGTCCTGTTCATTTAACCAGGTGATTATTCCATCGGGTGATCAGTCTGCTTTGTGAAGCTGGAAATCCAAGTGGTTGGAACTGATTTCTGTAAAGGGCTTTTACTTTCTGGACCTGGATGATCCACCTCTTCAAGTTAATAAAAGCTTCAAACTAGCTTTGCTTAGTCTGGGAGCTCCAGTTGATCATCAACTCAATGGCTATGGACCAGATCTGTTGCAGAACAATAAACAGAATGCCATATGGAGCAGTTGAAGGGAAGAAAGATCCATTTTTCCTTTTAGTCTTCTTTAAGCACTTAATCCCTCCGAGCATCCCATTGCATTTACTAAGAGCCTATTTCCATATAATTTCATGAGATTTCTCTTTGGTATTTTTCCCTACAGTTTCTCTTGCCTCTCTTTTATTATTTTTTCCACTTCAATAGGGTAATTTCTACTGATCACATTTGCCCCATAAACTGTCTAAAGCTTGGCTTCCTGCTGTTTCAGATCTCTTTGTGTCTGACATTCTCTGCTTGCTACCTTTTCCCCTCTCAAGCTTTTCCACAATTTTCCATCAGCCTCATTTTCTTGAGCTTTTCTCTGACTGTTCAATAACGGCTCCCAGTCAAGGTTAGAATTCGATTCAAAATATTCTGTTTACATTCAAGGTCATCCACAGCCTCTCCCCTGCATTCTTGTTGGATCTACCCCTATCTGTTCGCTCAGATCTTCTTCAAACCGACTCTCGGTTTGCCTTTTCTACCCTGGTGCCTTTGGGAGCAGAGCAACAGAAAGCTCTGTTCCCAAATTCATCTGTAAAATCCATGCTTTACCTCTGTTTAAATCAAACACACCCATTCAAGCCTATTCTCTCTGACTGTCCCTTTTTTAAGGTTTATGTTGTTCTTATCTATATATGTACAGTGACCTTGAGTGTTCCCAAAGACCTTTCTTAATAAAGATCTATTAAGAAGACTTTTATTATGGTTTATATTTCACCCTGACTGATAAAGAATAATTTGAAAATAAATATTACGACAGTATTTCATTAACTAAAGGTATTTCCTGTCGCAAGCATTTTGCAGCTGCTTATATGTTTTTTTCCGATATTATCTGCAGTTATGCTGCCTTCATGTGATCTGCTAAAGTGGAAATTATCAGTGCATTGTGTCAAAGTGCTTCTGTTGTGGTAGAGAAGAGCAACATGTTGGATCCATGGATCAGATTAACCTGCTGCCTGGGTAAGATAGACTTCCTAATGCATCTCCTGCAGGAAGAAGAGGATGCATCAAACGCAGTGACTTCTAGCGCGCATCTGATAAAAACAAACTCATTTAAAAATTGACAGGTTTAAATGGTGATGTATGTTTTTTTTTATATGTATTTATGTTACAGCATTGTGTAGGCTAGAAACACAACAGGAGAGAGCGCTTAACTCTTTATAGGGCACTCATTGAAATCTTTTGAAAATCCAAATTTCAGCCAATAGTGTTATTGGAATCCAGGACGAGACCTTATCTTTGTAACATAAAAAAAAATTTGGATATTTTGATGGCAGAAATGAATCAATGTAATAACAAGAACCTCCAACTTGCCGGAATATATTAAGAAAAAAAAACAAAAGTGCTTCTATAAGAAATTCATGAAAAACCCTCTGAGAGTGAAAGAAACACATTTCTTTGGTCCAACATAACCTTAGAGGCATTGATGCTGATGCTGGCATATTTTTTTAGTTTATAAACCTAAATATATTTGTTAACTAGGCTTAATAACTTTTCAGTCAGCTTTTTTTCTTGACTTTTTTTCCAACTAATTTTTTTTTTTTATATAATTACGATTCAACCAGCTTTAAGAAAAGTTTCGACATGTTATGATGCTGCACGCATGTTTCTCTATTAGGAAGGTGGATTCAGGGTTGAGAGGAGAGTCAGTTTTTTTTTAGCCACGTAATGGAACTTACACGTTTAAATATTCAATTCAATTCAGTTTATTTATATAGCGCCACACCGAGCATGCTTGTAGCGACAGTGGAGTGGAACAACTCCCTTTGAACAGGGAGAAACCTCCAGCAGAACCAGGCTCAGTGTGAGCTGCCATCTGCTGAGGCCGACTGGGGTTCAAGGAGACAGAAGCAGACATAGAAAAGGCAACTGTAAGAGCACATCCCGCCAGTCAGTCAGAGAAACAGGACTACACTGAAAAACAGGCAGATCTCGAACATCCATAAACAAGGTGGTTAATGGCAGTAGCACAATAGAGAATGTTTAGCTATAGCATCATCTCTCCGGAGCACTAACAGTACATCGTCATGGTTACTGTCTCTCATACATGGTTTGCGGCAAACTACAGACAAATGTTTGAGCTTTCTTTTCCCATCAGTTTGACCCCCCAGCAACCCCCTATATTATTGATACTCACTGCTTTTGCTTGATCCATCAGTTTAGTTTGAGGCTACATCTTGGTAATTAAGCATTCTTATGTGAGATGCTCGAAGTCTTATTTCCAGTTTTTTCGTGAATTTTGTGCCTTCTCAGGGCAGATGTGCACCAGATTTTATTTAGGTATACTGCAGTAGAGAGGAATGTATTCCTTTTATTAATCCTTTTAGATCCATTTGAAGTAAGACTTTTCTTTTACTTTAAAGGTTTGTTCTGAGTCTGTTTTCACACTTTAAAATTGAAATCCATCAATGATGTTTTTTTAATAGTAATCTCAGAGCTGCACACACCCACCTCCTGGGAATTTTAAGGTGGTTAAGAGCGCTAAAATAAAACTCCAGCCCACATAGAAGGTCAGATGCCAGAAACACTCGACTGAATCTCTGCATTTTATCAGAAGCTCCCCGGGGTTGGAGTCGATACTTTTCACTCAGTATTTTCCATGAAAACTATCTGCATTTCCCACATGAAAAGACCTAAAGGCGGTACGTCTATCTTTACAAAACCAACCAAAGAAAGAAGGAAGAGTCTGGGAAGGGGAATAGAGATGATATTTATTCATTTCTGCAAAGAACATCAGCTCATGCAAAGATACCACTTTTGTAAACAGAATTCTCCATGTAGAACAAGTGGAAGCTATTTTCTGGTACAGTTCCTCTTTGCCAACAAAGTCATTATTTCATTAAATTTCCAGGCAGGTAATTGTCTTTGAGAGCACAAAGGAAACGTGCCTAATGGCGTCATCGGTGCACTGCATGAATGTTGAACTCAGAGTGGTCAGATTTCACGTGGCTAAAACACTCTGCAGCCCAAAAGTGTGAAATCAAAGTAAGAACACCAAGATATGCTTTACAAGAAACACCGTACTGTTGTGCTGTAGACGGGAAGCAGATGCATTTTAGCTGGAGCTAAAACATTACTACAGCTTAGGTTGGAAATACAGTTTGTGATTCTCTTTTTCAGCTTTTTGATTCCAACCATGAATAGCAGAAAATTCCAGAACTTTCTGTCTGACAAGCAGTGAGGAGTAAAATTAGCCTGACGAGGAACCTGAAGGCAGAATTAGGTCCCCAATAGAGATGGCGTTAGAAACAGCTTTTACACAAATTTGGTCTTTAAAGTTTATTCACAAGATTTCAGAGGATGTTGGGCAGCGGAGGTCCCTTTAAAGAGCTCCTCATACCTCACTGCTGGTCAGCTGGCTGAAAGAAGGCTCCAACATGTCCCTCTGGTGGATTTCATATTTCCAGTTTAGATTCTAATGGATTGCTTTATTTTAGCAGTCTTGTAAATAACTACAACTCAATTTTTGTGTGTTTAAATATGATACAGCGAGAATCTTATATTAAACGTTTCCTCAGTGCAGAAAATTAAGGCCTTGGTTTAAAAGTTCAGGTTAGATTTATTTTGTACAGAGATTCAATCACCAGTACACCAATAAAACAATACAGAAGTGAAACAGTATTTTAGTTTTATCCTGACTGATAGCTGACTGAGATCTTTAAACTGAGGTTTTTATTTTTTTTATTCAATAAATGCATCCATTCTCAGAGGTTAAGAGGCCAACGCTTTGATGGACTAATGGGATAATTGCGTGTTTCCTTTTTTCCAGTTGGACTGAAAACTACCTCCCGTTAATAACCTGCAGCAGTTTAAATCCATCTCGTTACAATAGAGTTGGAATAAACTATGAAAAGTACAAACTTTGAAACTTGCAAAAAAAGTTTGTCTGCTTTAAAACAAAAAAACAAACAAAAAAAACAGCATAATTGTCCAAAAAAGGAAGAGAAATAAAGACGGAAGGATCAATCTTCACACCGAGACGAATGTTTGCTCGTTCCAAGTGGTTGGAGATCTTTGCATTCACCTGCAGTCAGTGCTGCCAAATCAAACCATCAAACCGTCGGTGTTTGAATGTGTTTTATTGCTGCCGTTCTGAGCTTCCAGTTTGTTTATCTCCTGTACTGGGGACGTAGGAGGGGACCAGCAGGAAGACAAAGATCCAATCAGATGATTCACCTTGGATCAAGAGATGCTCACACCCCTCTGATTCCTTCCAACTTTACAATTTTCTTTTTTTTTTTGCACATCCGTGTTCTATATATATATATATATATATATATATTATAGCTATGAGAACATTCTCAGAGAAAGTGTCACAAAAATAGAAGAGACCAGCACAGAAAAAGGCCCACTATATAGATTTTGACAAATCCATAGATTTAAAAATATACATATACAATAATAATCATGATGCAAGTCTTCCTGATCCCAATTATAAACATTTAATATACTTTAGTTTCTGTATTTAAGCAGGCACAGTAGTGTAACCCTGGATAGAATTGTTAGAAAACATAAGACAAAAAAAAAAAAACAGCAAAAAAGCCCCATAAAGCTCTGCAGCCACAAAGAGACAGCTGCCATGGAAGAAAAACCATTTGAATCCCAAGATCTCAACTCAAACCAGCTCATAGATCCAACTTTTAAAAAAAAAAGGAGAATCAAAGATGTGTGCATCATAAAACGAGAGAAAGGAAGCTAGATGAGGAGAAGCAGCCTCTGCTTTGGGCAGTCAGTAGTTCTGAGAGCAATCCCGTCCCCCAAAGGAATGCTGGAGGGGCGAGCAGAGAGCAGGGGGCGGAGCCGTCCAGCACAGTAGTTTGAAGTAAGGCCTCAGTTATTCTGTTTTGTGTTGGCAAAATTAACAAAACACAGAAACATACAGCATAACTGTCAATTACACCTAGCTTGAAAAAAAAAGATATGTGCAAAAAAAAAGGTTTTTCCAATTTTGTTAGAGTTTTTTTTTTTTTTTTTTGAAGATTGTGGAGAAGGAGGTTGGTTGGATTGTCCACCGTCTCTTCATCCCATCAGCCGCCGGTCCATGGCCGCCGCCACACTCGGCAGGCTGGCAGCTGAGCTTCAGGCTTGCTGTTGATCCGACGGAACGCTTCACGTTGAATGGATGACCCGCTTTAACTTCTCTACCTCTATCTGTGAGGAAAACACAAAGAACCGAAACAAACTCAGCTTCAGGACGGCGTTAGGATCCACATTGAACAGGTTTGTTATTGCCATGAACCAATCAGAAACGTGCAGGTCAGAGGTGGTCAGTTAGGAATCAATCGTCTACCAAGTCGTTTCCTTTAATAATCATGGTAGAGGCCACTGACTGCTGCCCCTGCCCTACCTGTTGCTGCACTGTTTGTGCGCTCACTGGAGCTGTCCCCTAGTTGGTGGTTTATCTGCGCTCGTCTTTAAAGGCCGTGTAGAAACTCTAAAGGTGGCCTGAACAGGGACTGATGGCAACACTCTTCAGAGAGGAAGCTGTTACTGAGTGGAGATTTGGCTGTTTTAGAAGAGAAATGCATGAGGCTTCAGATCTTTACAGGACACTGTAATCCTCAAAGTGTCTTAATGTAATTCTGGGATAGAAGATTTGCCACATATAACATGAAGGGCGAGTAAAGTAGAGCAAAAAGGCTTTCTCTGGGTTAAACTCTCAACCTTTGATATCATTTAAATGATGTCTGCCTTTAATTATTCAGAGTCAAAGTTTTTGAAGGTTAATCAAAGAGTAAAAGTAAAACCTGAAAAAAATTACAATCAGAAATCTCCCACTTAGAATGTGTTTTTACAACTATTAACTATTTAATTTTATTTTTTACAGTTTAATTAGAGTAAAAATTGTCATCTATAATTTTCTTTTTAAATTGATTGTTGATTCAGTCCAATTTTAACACTACTCGCTGCAATTACACTGAGCCCCCCTCAGGGGGAGCACGCCCCACTTTGGAATAAAAAAGTTTTTTTTTTTTATTTTAAAAAAAGCCTTTTTTGGTCAGAAACGTTGCGCTAACCATGCTAATCTTTAAGGTAAGATGCTAAATCCAGGTTCAAATATCACATCCAGAATGACTCCATGATTGTTTCTAAGTAGAAGAAAATCTTTTTTTTATGTGTGCTCTAAGCAAGGCTAGAACCAAGCATTAAATGCTGGTTTTTAAATCTCCTTTTGATCCTGAAACGGAAAATAAAGACAAAAGTCCCCGCTATCACTCTTACTATGATAACATGGATGGCTAGCTATGAGCAGCTTAGCATTGACTGCTCAGCCCCTCAGATATGAAAGAAATCTTTAATGCCTGAACCATGGCTTACTGCACCAGATTACATCAAAGGATTTAGTTTATGGATATTTTTTCATGCCATCTAAATGTTTAATTTGTACACTAACAGAAAATGGTCGTTTTTCAATATGTGTACTTGTGCGTCCGAGGCTAATGGCAGCCAGGGCTAACGTTAGCCCGTCTGCAGCAGCCCTCTCTCTGCATAACCGTGTGTGAAGGACCACTGACTCTGGTGGTGGATTTTTTTGTTTTATTTGCCAAAATGTTCATTTGTTCTGTGTTTATCTGACTGTTCATTATTATTCCCCAAATATATGAAAAAAGTAAGATTTATTATTATCTTGAGAGTAATAACAGGAGGTGAAATGCAGCTCCAGACGAGCAGAGCGTGTGGTGATGTCATCAGTACGCTTCTGTTCCAATTGACCCATATTTATGCTGCGTGCTCGGCGGCGGATGTCTTCTTTCTTATTAACTTCTACTTGCTCTCAGTAGTGTAGGCTAATGGCTAATAGAGCCACACCTGTCAACAGTTAACCCTTTATAGGGTTCTCAGTGAAATACTTTGAAAATTAAAATGTCAAGCCAATAGTGTTATTGGAATCCAGGACAAGACCTTATTATCTTTGTAACATTAAGAATAAATGGATATTTTAATGGAAAATGTGTATGCAATGTAAATTGCCCGAATATATTTAGAAAAATAACAAAAGTGCTTCTATAAAACAAATCATGAAGAACACTCAGAGAGAAAAAAACACAAAACCTTAGAGGCATTAATGCTGATATTGGCACTTACATTTTTTTGTTTATAAACCTAAATATAATTGTTTTAACTTTTTAACTTTCCTTTTTAATTTTTCAATTAGCTTTTTACCTTTTTTTTCTTGGCTTTTTTACTTTTTTTCCAACTTAATTTACAGTGGGTAATATATCATTAAAGGGCTCATCTAATTGTTCAAATGCCAAAATAAGATGTACAGCCATGTAGCAGCATCTTTGCTGAATGCCTGGATATAGATCTTGTTCTTCTAGAGCTCACTCAGGGATGAAGGGAGTCAATTTGTAAGGAGTATGCAAAAAAGGTAACTTGCCCTATAAAGGGTTAAATTAAACTACAGTTATAAATAATCACCTTAATTTTTCATGAAATTTGTAGAACAAATTTCTCTGCTGGATCAAACCTATTAGCTTAGGGCGCAGTGAGCGGCTTTATGCTGCATCCTGAGGCTAAAGCTTTAGCTCAAAGTCCAAGAGTGGCAGCATATGCTTCTAGGTCAGATTTTGCGATGGAGGAAAAGGAGAAGATCTCTGATATGCCAGAGTGTGTGTGGTATCTGAAGCATAGATTATGCTCAGCAAGTATAAACCAGTTAACGCAGATATGCTCCTGCCCTGATTGTAAATATCACACATGTTTAAAAAGCCCCACGCTGCAAATATCATGCAGGTGGGGATCAGACTGACTGTTTAACTGATCCTCAAGTTTTGGGGAATCTGGGACAACAGACATCAGAAACCAGAGCCAATAACTTCTTTTCAATCTATATTCTGATAAATCTGGTATTAGAATAATTTTCATCTTCCACCTAGATGTGCTGTTGGACAAAACTCTGACCCCCAGCAGCTCCCTCTCTGCTGATCAGTGAATGAAGCGACAGATAAGTAGTCAAAAAATCTTGACAATAAAGCACAAAATTATGAGCATTGAAAAATGGTTGGTCTTTATACACCGAAGGAAGAACATTCTCACAGCTTGAACCCTTTTTGGCGACTTCTGACATGGCGTCTCATAGACGACTGGGAGAAAATAGGAGGTTAGTGACGTAAATGCTCACAAAAGGCAGATGGCTGCTGCAGAGTACACTTCTAAGAAGTGATAATCCCTGTTGGAAACAAACCGAGGGACCATGACATGTTTGTTTCAACAAACTGAAGGGAAATAAACCCAACAATGCATTTAGTGGAAGTGTGACCCAAAAAAAGCATTTTTTTCTGGGTTTTGGCAGTGCCATCAGGGTCGCCATGTCAACAAACACGGCTGTATGTCTGACAGTTTACTCCTAAAAGGGGCTGAACAGAAGCTCTGTCTGCCAGCAAATCTCTCAGCTCAAAAAGTGGAAGCATCACTTTCAGAGACTAAATATTTCACATACGAACCGGTTAATCAGAGCGTTTAAACTCATCTCATCTATAAAGCATTTCATCCAAACTGTAGGAATGTTTTAGGAGCTATAAAGTGCATGGGTTCTTCCTATTTGAGGTGGACTATTCCTTTATTAACACAGAATTTTCTCTGCAGAATTTATAAATTTAGTATGTTATTCTTATACAATTTCCTAAGGTTCACATTTGTAGGACAATGTTTTTCTATAATCTTTTTGCTACTATAAACACCAGATTTTCCCCATTGTGGGACAATAAAGGGATTTTCTATTTGAAACTACGACTTAATGTTTAAAAAATAACTATTAAAAGAAGCTGTGACTAAGTGAATGTTTTAGTTCAATCTTGTAACCCAGAGCCATAGCAAGGTTTGAATATTAGTTATGTTTTTTTTTGTTTTTTTTTTATCAAGTTGCAAACAGAAACGTATGGGTTTCTATTGGGATTGTTAATGTTAAATGTATTAATTCTAAAAAAAAAAATGATGTGGCCATTTTTCTTTTAACCCTAGCTTACTCTTTTATTTCCATTAACAATATGCTGAATGAAAAACATTTTAGTATATTATTGCTATTTATTGTGTCTGCTATATTAAATGCTGATTAAATAAACAAAAAAGATTCTTTCTGGCATATTATGAAACTAGACAAACTTAAAAGATAACAACAGGAAGTCATTAGTCTGCTGCATAAAACAATTAAAAAACAAAAGTGAAACACTTATGATTTCCATTGCAGAGAGAAGTGAAACTATAATTAAAACACAGGTTAATTTGCTCTGACATGCTGTCAGACTATTAGCCACCTTATTTTCATGAGATGGTGAAGCTCTGTTTTAGTGTAACCCAGGTGCTGGGAGAGACTTTGTGCTGCTAGCAGTGTCTTTAAACAGGAGGTTTAATAAACGATATTTGGGTAATAAACTCAAGAAGTTTGGTTTTTTTACAAGCAGTACTGCCTAAAGACCATTCTGAATCCATGTCTACATTAAACAATGGAAATAATCTGGTTCCATTCCTGGTTCTGCTCTAGCATGCCTCCACTCTGGCGTTCCTTCTTTTGTAAAGAAGCAGATCAAATAGATAAAGCAGTGGTTAAATTGAACTTGAACACACCTTTTTAGTTTACATTAGAAAATGTCATCGTATTTTTGCTCTGTTATATAAATTAACCATTAAAAGACTTTAAAGCTACACAAAAGTACTGATTGTTTCCTCTGTCCTTAACTAATCTCCTGTTTCCATCCAAGCGCTCTACATGAAGGCTGCTCAAAACTCTCCACTGTCTCAGTAACGTTCAGGATCATTTTTACTTTAGCTGCTCTGTGAGCGCGAATAAAAAGCATCAATATTTGTTGAAGCTGACGGCTTAATGAATGCAGACAGCCCAGCGTGTGGGTCTTGGGGCGATCAATGCTACCTGCAGGGCTAAGCGCTTCAGCCGCTCCTCATCCACCTCTCGTCGCAGCTCTGCTATCTCTTTCCTGGAAAAAAGACAGACGCACAAACAAACCGATCAGGATGTGTCGGCAAACTTCTGACTCACAATATAAACCCGCTCTGTTCGTTATTAATCCCTTTTTTTGGTGCAAATCCTTTTAAGAGTATTTTTTCTGACCAAAACCACTTTAGAGTTCTCAGTGTGACTAATATCAATTTAACGCAGACTTCATTTGAAACATGCATTATGAAGGTTATAATATTGGTTTTGTGGAGTTTCCTGGGCAACCCCAGACTCAAACACATCCTGCTGCCTTACATTTGCTGGGCTTTGAGCAGCTCCACAGACAACAGCAGCTCTTTTATCTGGTACTTCAGTTCGTTCTGCTCCTCCGGCTCTGCGTGGAATTTGCTGTTCTGTGAGATGATGGTGTCCATGTTGGGGGTGGGCTTGGCTTCAGAGGGCCTATGGAGGGGCGGAGACTGGTTGGAAGGCTGCGAGTGCTGAAGAAGAGGGACAGAAGACAATTATACTGTAGATACTTTTATCACATTCAGAGTAACAAGGTGTAACAATATTAGCATATTTAAAAAAGAGGGGTGAATACTCAACATGTTATTGATTGACTTCTTCATGATAAAAGAAGACAAGGTAATCGGTAAAGCTCAATTTTTATGAATCACTACATCACCCAGACTCTATTGAAATCTAAAAACTGAAACCTGAATTTTATGAAGATTTATTACTCACTACACATAAAATTTAAGGGGTTTAGTTTTGTGGAGTGTAGAAAATCTGAATATTTAAAGAGCAAAAGAGCCATAAAATGATGAGAGGGTCGATGAAGTTTTGCAGGAATAGCGGAGTTGGAGAGCGTGGTTTGGAGGATTCACTTCAATTCAATTCAGTTTATTTATATAGCGCCAAATTCACAACACATGTCATCTCAAGGCACTTTACAGTTCAACCAGATCATACAGTCAAATTGATACAAAGTTTTCTATCTAAGGAAAACCAGTTGATTGCATTGACTCATTGACTCAAATACAATCCCTCACACTAAGCATGCTTGTACCAACAGTGGAG